GGGGGGGACGACACTGGAGGAAAAGGCCCTGCAGCTGGCCGTGTGCCTCACGGACGATGCTGTCCTGCCTCCCACTGCTCAGCCCTGGGGACAGACACAGCTGTGATGCACTAGTGGGGGCACTGAAGAGCTGGATTGGGCAGTGTGATCAACTGGGCCTGCTGAAAAGTGACCTGGGGGGTCACTGCAGACGGGCGGCCGAGTCTCTTCAGGCACATTATCATGAGGATGAGTACAGTGTTTTAAACACATAGTGCATAAGAGGTAGTTTATTGACAGCTTAAAGGAAAAAAGTATCTAGTTTAAAAACCGTGTAGAAACCATCAGGCTCTGCTGTCATACAGCCACACAGCACCAGGTTAGACAGACTGAGCCTCTAACTACACAACATACCCTAAATACCCAGTATTCACTACCTATAAAGTCCGGCTTTGACAAGCTGCTAAGATGTACTACAGCAAAGCTGCCGCTCTGGTTAAGTGTCTGCAGGCAGGAAAATCACCAAGGTCATCAGGTGCCCCCCTCTGTCCCCCCCCCCCTCCAAACTGGTGTTTCCTTGAATTTAAGGCCCACTACACCGAGAAGGTTTCCACAGTGTATCTGATGTCATAGACACACCCCCCTCCTTTCAAGACGGCAGAGACTCATCCCTCTGAAACAGTAACATCACTGTAATAATGACTCTCTGAAATAAAACAAACCGGACCGACACCTGCCTGCCCAAACCCGACTAAACCACACTAACAGGCACCAGCCTGAGCCTCACACTTTCAGATCCTTCCCTCCATAAAACACGCGGCCAGCAGTAAGAAGGAGAGAAACGGCGGGAAATGCTCACCTACCCGTCCTTCCCCACAGCCGATCCCGCCGCTTACGCCACACTGACCCCCATAAACCCGCCACAGCCAAAGACTGGCTTACCGCTCAGCATTAACCAGCATATTAACCAGCTGCTTTCATTTACCCAGAATTCTAACTCAAGCCGAAGGAAAAAGGGGCCAAAACCCAAAGCAAAGTCTTCTGACACGTAACTACATCACCCATAGACTACCTGCTAAATTAAAATGTAATAATAATAATAATAATAAATTCATAGCTAAAAAAATTTACATTGTTATAACAGATTGATAATTATACACCAATAACCCGCCAAACCACACTAACACACACTGACTCAAGCCGACGACTGATCTCCATGAAACGTATAAAACAGTGAAAGAGGACAAACATGAATAAATCCCAGCAAACTCTCACCTCACCGTCTTTCCCCCCCTGCCTGTCCTGTCCACTGAGCCTCATCCACCGACTCGCTTCCTCTGCACCATTAACCAGCATTTTAACCACCTGTTTCACCTGAAAAGCGCAGAAGCCAAACTCTCTCCACAGTGACATCACTGACTTTGACAGGAAGCCCCCCCCCCCTCCATCACCCTGACAGGACGTGTCCATCCTCTCTGAGTGACCTCACCTGCCAAGGCTGCAGACCTGGATTTTTCCCCTCATATGCTTCCTCTATTGATCCTTCCCATCTCACTGTTAATTCTATAGAATAAACTATACGCTTGACTTCTGACCACAAACCATATCAGTTCGCAAATTACTTACAGCTATTTCTCTTGAGACCACCAGCCCAGTACTGAGGCCTGCAGAGAGTTTCCAGTCGCTCGCCACACTAAGCTGACCTCCCACCTGCTTAGACAGGCCTGCAGGGCTGCTGTTCCCTCCTCCCTTAACAAAAGGCTGTCTGATAACTTTTACCTTCTGAGCATTAACAGCATTTCCTTACCAGCCTCTAACTCAGAGGCAAAACACACCAAACCCTTATTGTGCATCCATGTGTATCTGCCTTGACTCTGACTGACAGCACATCCTCATAGGATCTGCCACAGCCATACAAGCACATGGGGTATGTTTGAACCTGTGGGAAATGATGATTAACACAAACCCTAGATATAGATGTGCAGGTCTGTCAAACTATCAAGGATACATGAACCAAGGAAGAGAGCAGGCCAGGCTGGGCCCAGCTGACCACAGGGGGGGGCTGACAGGGGCGGGGGGGGACTTACGATGTAGCTCCATACGTAGTCCTTGTTCTCTGAGATGATCCGGCAGGAGGAAGCGCAGTGCTTCACTGCAGGGGCACAAAGAGGGGTTCAGACTGTTAGGTGAGAGAAACAGACCTGGCACTGGAGTGAAGGCGAACGCGTGACCAAAGGTAAATTAATCCTCCTCCATCCTGAATCCATCCAGAAGAGTAGAAATGGGAGTGCGGTCCTGTACTCACCCTGGCAGGACGTGCCGGCCTGGCAGTGATTGTCCTCCTTTATGTGCTCCAGGACCTTTCTCATGGCTGCACAGTGGGGCCTGGAGCACGGCCACCAGCTGAGTCGCTCCTTCATCCACTGGCACTCATCAGCGTGTTTCAGGAGCTCCAGCCGCTCCTGGATCAGCTTCGGCTTCTCTGGGTCAGTTGAGGGGCCCGATGGGGGGGGGGCAGAACAGCAATCTCATCAGCAGGGGTCACTGTATGTTTGTTACAGTCACCAAAACAGCCTTCATGCTCTCTATGCTCTGCATTCTGGGCTTGGGCCTGTAAACCTCAGCTGTGTTTCTCCATCATAATCAGACCGGTTTCTGTGCGGCTGGAAAAGCTCGATATCTGAAGCGCCACTCAAAGCCCTTTCCCT